AAAAAAAAAAAAAAAACTTGACTGGTTTGAATATTGTTTTTGGATATTGAATGTTATGCATATTTCATGATCCTGTTGTACTATGAAAAACTAATGTAACACTGCCTCAATCAACATTCCTCTAATAAAGAAATTTATTTTAAAAAAAATAGTTAAGGCGAGAGATGATAGCGGCATGGATGAGCACCATAGCCGCATCCGAAGTTAGATATTGCCAGATGCGAGCTAAATTTTTGAGATCGAAGTGGCAGGATTTGGTAAGTGACTGGACTTGAGGGGTGAAGGAGAGGTTGGAGTCAAAGAACACCTAGGCAGTGATTCTGCAAGGTAGTGCTGATGGTAGTGCCATTGACTTAGAGGGAGACACGGCAGTAGCAACACTCAAAGGATGAAAGACAAGGAGCTCTGTTTTGAACAGGTTAAATTTAAGATTTAAGCATCTATATCCAGTTGGAAATAGCAGTCAAAGACATGAGTCAGAAAGAATGGTGAGAGATCAGGAAAGGACAGATAGATTTGTGTGTCATCCACATAGAAATAATATTGGAAACCAAAAGAGCTGATGAGTTTACTAAGGGAGGCAGTATAGATCGCAGGAGCATTGATATAAATACATGGTTGACAAAAATTCAGTTCATTTACTAGTGATTTCTCTAGCCATCACTATTATAGCAACTCTACCATGACATTTTTTATTCGTATTATTTAACTTTAAACACAGGTTAAATTGCTGTAAAATTGTTTTTATAGCAATAAAGCTGTCAGGTTCAATGAAAAATTGTAACATTTGAATGTTATTGTTTGTTCGAATATGGATGGTTTTTAACCCCTTAAGGACCAAACGTCTGGAATAAAAGGGAATCATGACATGTCACACATGGCATGTGTCCTCAAGGGGTTAAAGCATCCTCCTGGAGGGGCGGCGCCTGACTTCCGGCGCGAATGGCGGCTTTCTGAGGGAGCTCCGTCCACAGAGGCACAGAGCCGGCTAACAACAGCGCCCGTAACCGCTCAATCCACCCCCACTTGGTCACCCCAGCTGCTCCCCACGCTACTCACCTGAACTACAATGGGAGGTGGACGAAAATCAAAGCAAGGCGCGGAGGTAGCGCTGATTTTTCGGAACCGCAAAGATGGCGGCGCCACGCGCTCAGAAGATGGCCGCGGCTCTGATTCAGACTCAGCAGCCAGCGACACAAGCCGAGCGACCACCTCTACCCCACTAACAAAAGACGACCTCCACCACCTACTACAAGAAATTAAAGCCAATATGAAGGTGGAATTCGACAAACACCTCACACCCATCAAAGAGGGCCTAATTGATCTGACACATAGAACCACGGCCATAGAGGAACAGCTTGACCGTACAACCACATGCACCACGGTAAATGAAAACGCCATAGTCCCTCTCCAAGACCAGGTCCGTCAACTGGAAGAGGCTCAGGAGGACCTTAACAATCGGTCCTGCCGCAATAATATTAGGATACGCGGGGTGCCTGAAATGGTCGACATGGATGCGCTAGGCCCAACACTGCGAGAGCTCTTTTGCGGCCTACTCCCAGAGGCCTCACCGGCGGAACTCCTGCTGGACAGAGCACACAGGGCCCTGCGAACACCACTGCCCAATGCCACCCAACCCAGGGACGTCATTATCAGAGTGCACTACTTCCATATCAAGGAAGCACTCATGCAAGCAGCCCGAAACACCCCACTACAACTAGAAGGACACCAAGTCTCCTTCTACCAAGACCTAGCCCCGAGCACCTTAAGAAAGAGAAGGGAACTACGGCCCCTCACCCAAGAACTCGCAAGGCAACACATCCGCTACTCATGGGGGCACCCATTCAAGCTGCAAGTAAGGAAGAACAACCATACTTACACCCTACATAACACCGCTGAAATGCACGACTTTGCTGAGAGCCTCGGCCTTGACCCTACAACCCTCACCGCTGATCCAAATCCCAGAAGAAGCGAAAGAGGTCCTCCACCCAGGAATGCACCACTGCCTACCGGGGCACGCCAGATACCCAATAGCCCGCGCCCCAGGGCTGAAAACTGAACGACAAGACGACCACCCACCACCCTACAAGCCAACAGAAGGTCGACGAAAGACCCAATACGGACTGCCCACAAAAAGAACTCTGACTACCCATGCCCACTCTGTCACCCAGACTCATCGATCCGACTACTACTGGCACCGACGACCACCGACCTCTCCACATCCTAACGAGAAGACCCCACAGTTGAAGGTATAAATGTGACTAGGTTCAGGTTGAAGTTCAACTAATGTGTTACAATGTACAACTGATGATGTTTGGTTTTCAGCTACAGGATACACCCCGTTACATAGGCTCACGGAAGTCGCACACGGCAAACAGCGCCCTACCGACAATTCAAGACCGGACGATGACGAAACCTCCCCCACCACTAAACTGCATTGGGACCTACCAGACAGCCAGACTACCGACTCACGAGACCACAAGGTACGACCTTACCACCGCACGACACAATACATAACGAACATATCCCATAGAAATATCAACAACAAGACGATGACCACCCATAGCAGGCGTAGAACCTCGGATACCTACTGAAAACTGCCTTAGGACGACTCAGACTGGACAGTCGCCAACCCCTGACACAAATCCACCCAAACTCTCAGGGAAACCCACGGAGCGGTCGGAAGCTTCGCCCCACTACCTACTGGCCCTTGGATAAGCCCAGTAGCACACCTCCCCCCCTTACCCCCGACTAACCTCCCACTTCCCTACTCCCCTTACCCAACCTTCCCGCCCTCCCCCCCTCCTCGTGGTCCGCGGCCACTCAGACGCGCAACCCCAGCTATCCCACCACCGCGCACCCGAACGGAACACCACACCGCCACAGGCACCATGCCAACGTCCATACGCTGCATCTCTATCAACGCCAAAGGACTTAACTCCCCCAACAAAAGACACAGCATTCTCCGCTGGGCACACAAACAACAAGCCGACGTAATCCTCATACAAGAAACCCACTTCACAACCCATCGCATATTCCCACTCACAAATAGATACTACACACAAAGCTTTCATGCTCCTTCCTCAGCCACCAAAACTAAAGGCGTAGCTATCCTCCTGAGAGCAAATAGCCCCCTCACAGACATTACCTGCTCTAAAGACCCACAGGGCAGATATGTCACCATAAAGGGAAAAATAGGCACAACACAATACGCCTTCTCATCGATATACTCACCCACAACACCAGATACTTCCTTCTGGCAACAGCTAACAACCCACCTCAATATTTACTCAACCACACGACTCATAGTGGGTGGGGACTGTAACGCAGCTCACACCCCTGCCATAGACAGGACTTCACTCACGTCCACGCGAACGCGCCCATACCAAAATGATACCCTCTTCGCCCAATTTCTAGCCCCACAAAAACTGGTAGACATCTGGAGGGCACAACACCCTACCACCAAAGATTACACCTTCTACTCCCACCCACACGGAACTTACTCGCGCATCGACCATTTCCTCATCTCCCCAAACTTGGTGCCCCAAATCACCAAGTCAGAGATCGGACCAATCTCTTGGTCCGATCATGCCGAAATAGCAATCACTCTACACCTACCAACCATTCACACACATTGGTCATGGCGACTGAACCCAATACTCCTTCACAATAAACTGATCAAAGACAAGATAACCACGGCAATCAAAGACTACTTTGAACTAAACTCGCCCACAACCACCTCTCCCATGACCCTATGGGCTGCTCATAAAGCAGTAATCAGAGGCACACTCATCAACCTAGCCACCCACAAAAAAAAACAGGCTCAACGACAAATACTTGAGACAATGACGGAACTCCGTCGTCTAGAGACCGATCACAAAAAGGAACCCAACCCGACCATCCTGGCCAACCTCACCACAGCTAGAAACCTCCTTAAAACCCTCACCCAAGCAGACACAACCAAAGCCTTGATGTGGCTTAAACTAAAATATTACGAAAAGGGAAACAAAGCCGACACCATGCTCGCACGCAGACTCAAAAAACGCACCGAGGCCAAACGAATTACATTAATACGCACAAACACTGGTACTATGACTGACTGTCCAGATAGCATAGGCAGAATCTTCCAGGACTATTACACAGACCTTTATAACATGACCACCGACCCCAAGACACCAGGCCAACACTGCCCGCACGCATAGAAACATTTCTAAAAGACGCAACACTGCCCACCCTCACCCAAGAGGCCCAAGCGGCACTAAGCCAAGAGGTCACGATAGAAGAAATGGCGTTGGCAGTGGGACCCCTCAAACCAAACAAAAGCCCAGGGCCGGATGGTTACACAGCCCTATACTATAAGGAGTTTGGCCCACTGCTCCTCACGCACCTATGCAAGGTCTTTAACGCAGCACTCAAGGGGGAGAACCTCCCACCAGAAATGACTGGGGCGAACATCTGCCTCCTCCCCAAACCGGGAAAAGACCACTCGGAACCCGTACACTACAGGCCAATCTCCCTTCTCAATGTGGACCTTAAAATCATGACCAAAATTATGGCTAACCGACTAAACCCATATCTACAATCCCTCATACATCCAGATCAAGTGGGATTCATACCACACAGACAGGCAGCAGACAATACCCGGAGAGCCATAGACCTCATCTGGCTGGCCAATCATAGAAGGATCCCGACGGCGATCATCTCTCTAGACGCGGAAAAAGCGTTTGATCGCCTGCTCTGGCCGTTCCTTCACCACACACTAACACACATAGGGATGCCATCCGAATTCACCTCATTCCTACAAGCCATTTATCACGCCCTCCAGGGCACACTCCTGCTACCCAACATCCCCCCACCACGATTCCCCATCTCAAACGGCACGAGACAGGGATGTCCTTTGTCCCCCCTGCTTTTTGCCATTTCACTGGAACCTTTACTACAAGCGGTGCACACCAGCCGGGAGATAGAGGGGTTAACGATCAGAGGTGAAACCTTCAAAATTTCTGCTTACGCAGATGACATCCTGCTAACCCTAACAAGACCAGAAAGATCCATAAACTCCCTCCTAACCATCATCCAAGAATACTCCGACCTGTCGGGGTACAAGATCAACCTGACTAAATCGGAACTCCTCCCGATACAAATAGACCCCCCAAGTTTAGCCATAATCAAACAAATATGCCCAATGAGGATCTGCCACACAACGATGACGTACCTCGGGATCCATCTCCCGTCAGACGTCACCACCCTATACGAAACAAACTACACTCCCCTGCTACGAAAGGCCCACTCAGACCTCATCAAATGGAGACCCCTAGGAGTCTCGTGGCTGGGGCGCATCGCCACAATTAATATGAATCTACTTCCCAGATTCCTATACCTCTATCAAACCCTACCCATACCGATCTATAAACAAGACTTCAAGGCACTGCAATCAGCTATAGACACATTTATATGGAATGGACACAAACCCAGAGTGCGCCGAAACACACTATACGTACCCAAGAAACATGGGGGACTAGGACTACCACACTTCACACACTACCACACGGCAGCACACCTAACGCAGATACAACACTGGCACGTCCCACCAGGGGAAAAAAGATGGGTGGACTTGGAACACAACATCTTCGGTCGGGACCACCCGTCCCTGTACATGTGGGTACCCAAACCACATAGACCCCTACCCCCTCCCACCGCACCCTCAATCACCCATGCACTTGATACATGGGACAAAACGAGGGACAAATTTGAACTGTCATCATTCCTATCTCCTATGACCCCCATATGGAGGAACAAGCTGTTCCCACCGGGACTTACCCCCAAGCACTTCGCCCACTTTGAACACAGGGACATTTCCCGTCTAGGGCATTTATACCAAGACGATGACATTATAAAATTCTCAGATATCAAAGACTCACCCTCACTCACATCATTCGATCACTTTAGATTCATACAATTGCGCAGCTTTGCAGCGACTCCAATCATAAAACAAGCCGGCACGGCTCAACTCAATCGATTTGAAAGAGACTGCATTGCGCACCCCAACAGACAAGGACAAATCTCCGACATATATGCAACCTTGGCGACCCACCACACACAACTGTCTCTCCCATACATAGCGGCATGGGAGGCAGACCTCGGACCCCCAGTCGAAACAACAGATTGGTCAGACATCTGGGAGGCCACGGCCTCCATCTCCATATGTGTCACGCACACTGAGCAAGCCTACAAAATGCTATTCCGTTGGTACCTCACCCCCCAACGCCTGGCCATCATGCACCAAATACCAGCCAACACCTGCTGGAAACAATGCGGAGAGACAGGAACGTTCCTCCACTGTTGGTGGACGTGCCCGAAACTCCAACCACTTTGGCAAGACACCACACGCCTAATCTCCAAACTAATAGACAAACCTTGTCCCTTAGACCCTTGGATGCTCCTACTCTCCAAGCCAATAGACCAATACACTAGAGCTGAAAATAAGCTATCCGCCCGCATAGCCCTTGCAACACGTAGAGCCATAGCAGAATTCTGGTCAACAAACCGCATACCGACACAAGAAACAATTACCAAGAAGATAATAGATGGCATGCAAATGGATAGGCTCACAGCACAATTACATGACTCGCCCAAAAAGTTCCACAAAATGGAACCCATGGCTGGAGGGAGACACGACCATTCCGTGGTAACACGATAGGACATTAACCGCCCCCCCCTAGCATAGGGACCCCCCAATCGAGGATATCACACACCTTCAAACAAGTACAACCCTCACCCAACCACATAGCCCCAAACACCAACCTAGGACCCCCGAGAGGGGCCCGCGCGCGGGGTGGCTCGCGGACCGCGAATCCTCCCCCCCATGCCCACACCGCCCTATTCCACAACCCTTACCCTAAACCACTCCTTGACTCGGACAAGGCTGCACCAACACATAACGAGACAGGACTCACAAAGATTCGACGAGTGACAAAACCCATCCCTTAAGAACGCAGAAACGGCAGGGAACTTAAATAAGCGTTCAATGAAGATACAATGTTGATACGAATGTAAGCTATTTCCAATATGCAACAGTACCCTGCGTTGGTACCGACATTAAATTTGAAAGTACTATTATGTCTTGAACCACCCCCACCCACCCCTCCTTTTATTTTCTGTACCCCACTCCCCTCCCTCCTACTTTCAAGGAGAAAAACCTACAAATAAAGAATTTAAAAAAAAAAAAAAGCATCCTCCTCACTCATGTTACATATTATTATTTTATTTTATTTATTTTTTTTATTTTTTATTTTTGCAGTGCACATAATGGATACAGACTGGCTTGAGGTACCCCAAAGGCATTCCTCGAGCTGCTTAACATAAATAACAAGTAGGGTAATCGCTAGGCAATGCACAATTTTATGGTATATAGTAGCAATAACGTTGGTGAAACCGAAGAGTAGTAAAATAGAGTAAGTAACAAGCGTATGACATATCCCCTTACTGCTAAGAGATAGGTACTATGTGTAGATAGTCATGGTAAGGTAAGGGGTATAGAAGAGTTTGCCACCCCAGACAGCCCCAACACCCTGGTTAGCACCCTATATGAATGGTAGCAGATTAGATTGCAGTACCCTCTGAACCTGGTGTAGCAAGCAAAGTAAGTATAAAGCTATCAGGTAACATAAGTATGGCAAACCAGAAGTCCAATATGGCCCCAATTCTGGGTAGGCGCTGGGGTCAGGGATCCATCTTGGTGGTCATCCTATCCCCCTTGTAGGGAATGTAGTGACCCAGAGTGTTTGGCTTCTCAGGCTGTCAGGCAGGGGAGACGTCTTCATATTTTTGTGCAGCAGTCGCTGTCTACTCCCCTCACCATCCCTGCGTGTTTCATTCGGCATGGTGCTGGGTTTGAAGAGCTTCAGGGTTTGCCGGCCGGCTAATTTTACCGCCTTGCGTCGCTTAGGCTGTCGTCGCTGTCTCCGGTATGCTGGGCTCGCGGTGTGTGCAGCAGGGCGCTTCGGGGAGTAGCGGGATGGTTCAGGAGGTGCCTTGATGGTCTCCGTGGGTGTCAGCCTGCTCTCCAGCGCCCTCCAAAAGGCGTCGAAGATTGCCTCCAGGCGCTGGTATGTGTCAGGTATCTCCCCTCCAGGAGTCAGCAGACGCGTGTCGTCCGCCATCTTAGGTAGTGCTCCACCTTGCTCGCGGGTGTTTGCGGCTCTGCTGCGGCTCTCCGATGGGGTTTGGGAGCCATCAGGGTGGGGACCGGGATAACCCCCACCGGTCCAAAGGGGGGGGGGTAGCAGGGCTCCAGGTACATGCTCAGCACTTTGATCGCGCCAGTCTGGGAGAGCGGCCGCCTCTCCCCTCTTCAGCGCCCACTAGGCCTCAGTGGATCTTGGTGTCTGGAGTGCTTGAAAAGGCTTGTTAGAAGCATTCGCAGGTCGGGTCTCTTTACATGTAGTTGAGGGTAAGTCGCTTGGTGCCCAGCTTGGGATATTTCTGTCAAAATAGCAAGTTTGCTTAGTGTGTTCCTGGGAGCTCACAAGAAACACAACCAGTCACCATGAGTGTCAGGCCCCGCCCCCATTATTTTATTATTTATATAGCGCCAGCAAATTCCGTAGCACTGGATATAGATCTAGAACTTGTTTTATGACTTTAAAAAAAAACTGTTCTATATTTGCATCTTGAGACTCTGTGCTATCCTGACAGGTACATAAACATTGCCATATGAAACATTTGATTTCAAGAATTCATCAATAAAAAACAAACCATTTTATGCAAATATGCAACAGAAAAAATAACTACATAATAAAGCAAATGCAAAAATCAGAGCATTTTAAAGGGACACTATAGGCACCCAGACAACTTTATCTCATTAAAGTGGTTTGGGTGAAGTGCCCCATCCCTTTAACACTTCAATGAATGGTTAAGACTGCCTGTAACTCCGTGAAATAACACTGGACATCCTCAAGCTTTAAAATCCCCATAGAAAAGCATTGATTTAATGCTTTCCTATGGGAAAGGCCTACTGCGTCGACACTTGCCGCTCATGCGCATTAGGTTCCCCCATCACTGTGGTGTCAGAGGAGACAGAGCCAGGTAAGAGAACACGGTTTAAACTCCTTCATCAACTGTGGGGGGTAGGGGGAGGGGCTATAGTTAACTGCAGAGGGACATTATAGCATTAGGAATACAGTTTTGTATTCCTAACGCTATAGTGTTCCTTTGAATCCTGTAATCCAGTGGTGTTTATTTACAAAGCCCTAAAAAGTGCCTGTAAATATTGCAACAACAAAAAATGTAAATAATAATTTACAAAATTTTTAGAAGGTTCAATGTTGGTGCACTTTTGGAGCTTGGATAAATATGTCTGCTAGTAGGTAAGTCAGAAAATGCCTTGCCAGCCTCTTGTCCTGGGGGGCCCAGGAGCTGGCCGGGTGGCAACCTTAGGGCCCCCCAAGGCTGGCAGCAGCGGCACTTGGCGGGTGGCAAGGGAGCACTGATCCTCCTGTTCAGCTCCCTTGCGCACACCGCAGTGATGCCGGAGCTGGAATATGACGTCACTAGGGAGCTGAACAGGAGGATCAGTGCTCCCTCTCCAACTGCAGTGACCGACCAGCAGCCCCACTGGACCCCAGGGAAAGGGAGAATCCACCCCAGCACTTTTAAAAAAAAATGTGTGTGTGTCTGTTAGTGAGTGTATGTGTGTGTCTGTTAGTGAGTGTATGTGTGTGTTTGTTAGTGAGTGTGTTACTGTGTGTGTGGCTGTTTGTTAGTGTGTATGCATGTCTGTTAGTGAGAGTGTATGCATGTCTGTTAGTGAAAGTGCATGCGTTGACTGTGTGTGTATGTTGTCTATTAGTGAGTGTATGTATGTATGTCTGTCAGTGAGTATGTATGTCTAGTGCAGTGATGGCGAACCTTTTTGAGCCCGAGTGCCCAAACCGCAATACATGCCAACTTTTTTCCCCTTTAAGTGCCAACACGGCAATTAAACCTCAATACTGAGGTTTAAGTTTAGAAAAAACAACTTGTACTGTTGTCCGAACTAATTAACAACTTTTGTTTTAAAAGAATACAACAACAGAGAGTTCAATGATACAAATTTTAAATAATGATATAAATAGATAAAATTAAGCTTATATTTATTAGTATCTACAACAAATGCAATACATACACACACAGTCTGCTGAATACACACACACAAAAGACTGCTGAATACAGAGACTGATGAATACACATACAGACAGACTGCTGAGTACACACACACAGACTGCTGAATACACACACACAGTCCGCTGAATACACACACACAGTCCGCTGAATACACACACTGCTGAGTACACACACACACAGACTGCTGAATACACAGACTGCTGAGTACACACACACACACAGACTGCTAAATACACACACACACACAGACTGCTGAATACATGCACACACACACAGACTGCTGAATACACACACACACAGACTGCTGAATACACGCACACACACACACAGACTGCTGAATACATGCGCGCACACACATACTGCATTGAGGGGTGTAGTGTATGTGTTTGTGTGTGGGGTGCTGTGTGTGTGATGTGTGTGAGGGGTACTGTGTGTGTCTGAGGATTGCTGTGTGTGTGTGTGTGGGATGTTGTGTGTGTGTGTGTATGAGGGGTGCTGTGTGTGTGTATGAGGGGTGCTGTGTGTGTGTGTGAGGGGTGCTGTGTGTGTGTGTGTGTGAGGGGTGTTGTGTGTGCGTGTGTGTGTGTGTGTGTGTGTGTGTATGAGGGGTGCTGTATGTTGTGTGTGTGAGGGGTGCTGTGTGTGTGTGAGGGTGCTGTGTGTGTGTGAGGGGTGCTGTGTGTGAGAGGGGTGCTGTGTGTGTGAGAGGGGTGCTGTGTGTGAGAGAGGAGGGCTGTGTGTGAGAGAGTGGTGCTGTGTGTGAGAGAGGGGTGCTGTGTGTGAGAGAGGGGTGCTGTGCTATGTGGGGGTTAGGGGGCTGCTGTGGGGGCAAGGGGTGCTGTGTGTGTTGTGGGGGTGCTGTGTGGGGGTAGAGCTGTGTTTGGGGGGGTACAGGTGCTGTGTATAGAGGATAGGGGTGCTGTGTGTGGGGGTAGGGCTGCTGTGTGTGTGTGGGTAGGGGTGGGAGGAAGCTGGCTGTGGATGAGGGGAGGGGTGCTGTGTGGAGGGGTAGGGGTACTGTGTGGGGGGGTAGGGGTACACTGTGTGGCATGTAGGGGTACTGTGTGTGGGGGGCACGAGGGTAGGGGAGCTGTGGGGGCTAGGGGTGCTGTGGGGGGTAGGGGTGCTGTGTGTGTGGGGCCAGGGTAAAGGTGTTTAAAAACAATAAATAAAAAAGTATGCTAAATCAGTATCCCCCCTCCCTCCTTTTTACCTTTAATGAAGGAGAGGGGGGGGGGGGACACAGCCATCCCTGGTGGTCCGGTGTTGGCAAGCACTGCTTCCAAAAGGTGCCTGC